GACACTGTACTATGGCTGCAACGTTTCAAATAGCTCACGGTTCAGTTTGTATCACGGTTTCGGTATGATTTGTATATGTGCTCAGTTAAAAAAAGACTACTGTCAAATAAAATAAAGAAAAGATGAACAAATAACCTAACCACAAGCAAAAGCATAAATAAATACAACAGAGCAAATATACTAACAGAATAAACAATGCTTTCAGATAGGTCTAACATTAGTTTTAAGGTACAGAAACTGAATAAAATATTCAAATGGTAAAATAACGTTGCATATTTGACAATATAAATTAAATATTATTCCTTATCAAAGTTACAAAAGCTAATTATTCAACTCAGAGCTGATTCAGTAGGCCTACACGATACAGTGAGTGTCTATCTTAAATAGTTTAGTTTAAACACCGATGGTAACGCCTGCAGTTTAGGTCTCGATCGCCGTCAATTCCCAGGTGATGACAGGTCATTTTCGAGCATTTGGCACTCACATTGAACAGTGTTTACAAAGAGTAATCGTTTTTTTGATTCTCGCTGTTGTAATGTATTATTTGGGAAACCAGCAAGTGGATTTAACTAGCACACTAGCCGCAGGAAGAACGAGTCAATAGTTAATTTACTATAATAGTCAATAGCTTGTTAGGTTATCTCAGTCTCCTTCCCAAAAACGTTTAAACGCGCGCTTGAGTATCGACCCTCCCCCTCCACACATTAGCCACTTACAGTGGCCATTCCCTATTCTTCTCACACTCATTGGCCTAACACACATTCCGGATTCATTGATAAGCCCCTTCCACGTTTAACATGTAAAAAAATAAATAAATAAATTTGGTCGCAGTCTGGAGCCCTGGAATGCCTCATGAATATCAAAAAAGGTTAAAGGAAACATTTCACAAGACAGACTCAGAATATCTTGTTTATTGCATAAAGATCAATGATTCCTTTAAAAACTCATACGAAGATAGAAACATGAGGTCAAACTATGTCATTAAGTGATTAAACTATAACTCTTTAGTTTGAGCTGATGTTAGCGATTGTTCCCTGCAGACTGCAATCAAACAAGAGGCAAAACACACTGAAGTCATCTGACTCCACATGCAGCCTAAACAATAATTAATCTAAAGAGCCAATCAAAGCAGAACAAGGGTTACTGTGGTTGCATCATCAGCACCTGGACTGTGTAAAGCACCTGAGTGACAGTGTCCTTCTACAAAGTAAACATCACCACCGTCACATGGTGATCTGGCTCATTTTCAAGAGCCATCAACTCCATGTGCACACTGAGGTAGAGGATTGTAGATCATAAATTATTATAAATTGTAAAGAAAATGTGAATGAAACTCACACTGCTTACATAAAAATGCTATAGGGTGATGTTGGTGGTTGCTTAAGGGTGTGTTCACACTTAGCATGTTTGGTTAGATTAAAACAAACTCTGGTGCGATTGCTCTGTTAGTGTGGTTCATTTGAATAAATGTGAACGCTGAACTCAGACTACCTCCTTCAGGTAGTTTCGGGTTCGGTACCGCGATGCGCTCCCAGGTCAGGTCCGCATGACAGCTTTTACATTATCGATTTTCCAAGCGAGCCGTGCCCCATTCCGAACTAAACTGCCAGTGTAAAAACACCCATATGAACGCAAAATGGACCAAAGACATGTAAATGAACCAAGAACGGGTAGTGACGTCACAAAATGCGACCCTAAAAAGGACAGAACGCTTAAGCATGCCCGTTTTTCCCATCACAGTTTGGTACAGGCATCAGAACTGCGTCTTTGCAGCAAATCTTCGTTTGCTGGATGGAGTGGAGGAATTCTTACACTGTTTTGACTCCTTTACGAACTTTTTAAGCTCTTCACACGCATATGTAGGCTATGCACACACAACGAGCGCAATTATCCAAGCACACAGCATTGTTTTCGATGTTCGATAAGTTCCATCTCGAAATATATGCCATAAAAGGCGACCAATCAGGTTGCGAACGTATACCTATACCTTTAAATTCAGTGTTAAAAATGCCACTGTAAATGCTAAGCGGACCAGGACAATGGCTACATCTAAATTTTCTGCTCTAAATATCTGTAATTTATCACACTTTTAGATGTTAAAGTCTGACATCTGATCTGATAACCATGCAAATCCTTCCGCCGTCCAAGGCTTCATTACTGCTGCATCATACTACCAGATTCAGCCACACAAGAAGTCTGTTCAGAGCCCTTTTAAAACGCTTTGTATACTAACACATGCTGCAGTGTGCTTTAATGGTGATCAAAGCAAAAATGCATAGTAAAGATGACCAGCAGGTGCAGCTGTACAGAGGGAGGAGGGAGGGAGGGAGATGACTGCATTATCAGCTGCTAGCAGGGGCACGGTTTGCTTGGTGTCTATGGCAACAAAGGGGCTGGTCCTGCTGTGATGTTGTGTAGTAAAAAAAGGTGGAACAAAGACACATGATTACATACATGCGGTTAATTATGAATGAGAGGGACATAAAATGAAAGAAAGTGAGGGAAAGAGGTCAGTTATCTGTTGCAGTGTGTGCACTTTCAAACAAATAAAACTAAACTCTCTTTACCCAGGCGCTATAGAAACAAACACACAAGCGTCACTGACGCTCATCTGATAACAGCAGACTCTGTCATTGCTGAAAGAGGGAGACCAGCAGTCTTTCTTCGTGCTGTTCCACATCAAAACCACAACAGCAGAATTGTTTTAGCACTGCTCATGTGCTAATTTTGGATGCTGCTGATTTACTATGTCATTATCACATAGTGTGGTCACTGATAACCCCGATCATAAAATCGCATCACATCACTGAGAATTACATTGTTATCAGACCAATATCAAGCACTTAATACATGACACATCACAACAAGATACTGAAGAATATTCTTAAAAAGGCATTAGGAAGAGAAAAAAAATGGTCAATTTACATTTTATGAAATAAAAACGGTGGTTTTATGACTTTAAAAAAAGCCATTTAAAATGAGAATGACCCTATATATATTATTTTTAAAGTGCCCCTATTTGGCTATTTTTTTTTAATTGTATTATGTTTTGGGGGTCCTACAAAGGTTGCATGCATCAAAGGTAAATTTTTTTTTTAATTTTCTCAATCTTTTCACCCATAGACTGTGGGGTTACGGAAGTTCTCACCTACCTTCAATTTTTGGCTTCAATATCTTGTGGAAAAGGTTTTCCTCTAGCGTAAGATATTACGCAGTACTTTTACCCTCTTCTAGAAAGAACCAAGGTTATGTTAGTACAATTTTACGAGTTTTATGGTAAAAAAACAACAAAAAACATATTTTTTTAATATATTAATAATAATTTTAAATATTAATAGGCTTTTGGATTTGTCTCACTTATTATTATTGGATTTGTTTCAAAAGGAAATATACAAATATAGTAAAGAAAAAAAACTCTCTGTATTTAAAATATGAGTCTGTTCTAATGTTCAGCAGGGTCACTTCGCAACTTCTCGAAAAGAGCTGACCTATACAAGTGTCTTCTATTGTGACAAACTGCAGCAATGTTCATTGAATTATTAATTACAGTCCATTTAATGCAGCAGGGGCATCCTTTAATTAAAGCCTTGGGAATCATAAACTTCTGGTCAGCGTTTTCAAGACTGAAATCCAAAGTCCTTAGCTTTAATGCACTAGTAGTTTAGTAACCATGCAGTTCAGAGAGGAGAGCTTGTGTTGCACATTTCCAAACAGACATCAGACCCCAAATATCCAAAGTTAGGAGCCCCCTCCTCTTTCTGTAAATCCCTCCCCTCCTCCACTTCCCTTCTCTCCCTCCTTTCAGTCTTTCAGGAGTTTTCCCGCTCTGCCGGGCAGAAGGCTTTCAGAGGGAAAGAAAAGAAGAGAAAAGCAAGGGAAAGAAAGAGGACAGCAGGGTTCCCTGCAGTGGAGAGGAATTCGAATAATTCAAGTTTGATTACTCTGAGATCCAGAGGAGGACTGGATTCTTTCTATTCAGTTTATATTGGAACCAATGTCTTGAGAAACAAACCAACAATAAATAGATCCTAACACCATCTCTGGTTACATTCAACAGATATGACCGATTCCTGTGTGTGGAGTTAAAATATGACACCGTTATGAAAGAAAACATTGAAAAACAATGTTGAAGTAGATGAAGAAAGGCGAGTTTTATCTGTTCCATTCAAATGGTTTCACATACTACTGCGCTATGTACAGCACTTTGGTCAGCGTGAGCTGCTTTAAATGTGCTATAGAAATAAACCTTTACTTACTTACTTACTTTACATACAAACACAGTGCCCTTACTTAACAGACATATCTTGAACTCTAACACAGAATTTGGGATCTTTTGGCTCTGTTTATCAAGCCTGGGTTACTCAGTATCCTGTACCGGACGGATTTCCTGCAGTCGGGATTAGGAACTGCAGATGTGCATTGTTTCTATTAACGCAACCTCTCCTCAAACCCACGTGCTTTGTGCATTTAGCTGAGGGAGAAAACTCTTAGCCCTTTATTTATGTCACATATAATCATAAAAATATGAAAGAAACAGCATATAGTCCGATAGCGAGTGATATTGAGAAAACGTCTCCACCCATTTGACATTCACATGGACACACAGTGTCATCATTCAGTCTTACTGTAAAACACAATGGCTGAATCATATTTCTGCCATCGTTATGGATATACTACAGGTTAAGGGATTGTGAATTAAAAAATGAAAAATTATGAAAAAAGAATTATTAATCAAATGATAGCAAAGCATGTGGGTTTGGAAGGGTCACATTAGAGACTGACAGTCTCGCCATTCCCTTTCAACGCTTTTTTTTCCCATATAATAAAAGTAAAAGGTGACAAAGGGTTTCGTTCTGCACAGCATCTCGTTTGTATTCACAAAAGAAAGTCCTTTGGGTGAGTATATAATGAAAAAAAGATGCATTTTTAGGTACACTATCCCTTTAATCTCTAACGTTACTTAAATGATTGGAGTTTCTTGGTCAGACTATTGGTCTTACCTTCACAAAAAGCTCGATGACGGCTTCGTTATCCCCCTTCACACCGTTTTGAGGTACCGAGAGAGACATCCCGAACTTCTGCCTTTATACGGACACGTTCACAAAAACAAACCTCGATTTCTTCACCTTGGCACAAAAAGTTTTCCTTTCACGCCTCCCTCTTTCTCGAACCGAGTTTTTCGAACACAAATATCACTATTGTGTTTTTTCGCAACCGAAATACAGAGAGTCCGATAAAATCAAGTACGTAAATGAGCTTTTCCACGAGACTCTACTAAGTTACCTAGAAACACATCACTGAAAAAAACCCGACAGAGTCCGCTATGTCTCCTCCTCAACTGCTCTCAGGATGGCGACGAAGAAGGGAAAAAAATCAACGGGAGTATGTAAGGCGGTGATGTCATGCGCAGTGGACTGAACGGGCGCGAGCCGAATCGGTACCGTGACGCGTGCACAAGAACTAGAGCTTCCTGAATTTTTTTTTCTGCTAAATTTATTTAGAAAAATAATCTACCTTTGATTTTAACTCTCATATATTTTTACAGAGAAAGCTTTTGACAGCACAGATAATAGAAAAGTAAATCAGTTTCTGCTAACGAGTTTACCTTGTATGTAAGCCTAACAATTCTGTAAAAAAAATAATAATACAGAATTATTAAATATGGCATATTTGGCAGAAACTGTGTAACGTATAGGCCTATTTCTTGGTTAAATTTTTTATTCTTCACAGCGAGTCGAATCTTTTGTTCGCTTATCCGTTTAATTATCTTTTCTATGCAATTTCAATATACCAGTAGGCTAACATACATAGCGACAATTAAAGTATTTAGTGACAAGTTAATTAAAAACTTGCCTGAAATCAGTGAAAACTGAGCCACACAGCATCTGATCACTGGATTTACAGAAGTCATTTCACTTTTAATGAGTGTTTTCTCCACATTGCATTTCTAATCAGCATTAGTTTAATTATTATTTGAATCATCACTCAGTGAGTCATTTAACGTATTACTTTCTATAGGAGAATTTGTATTTCAAACACATTCAAATGTACAATTTCACATTGACATGATGCAATGCAGGGTCAATGTAGTCAATAACATGTTCATGGTTCTCCGATTAATGGTCACATGACATGCAGGTAAACATTTTAAAAATATATCTTTTAGTAAATGTTTTTATTTGACAATTTTTTTTTAATGCTTATGATTTAATTACTTGATAGCTTTCTATTAAAATCACAAACCCCAGTGTGAAACCCTGACCGAATGTAATATCTGTGGCATTTCATATTGTTGCTAACAAAGAATGGAACATACTTTAATTCTCTTTAAATTTTTTATATCAATATGTATACAAGAGTTTCCTATTCAAATCAGTGTGATAAACGAGTTAAAAGTAATCTAAAAAGTAATCAAATCGTAGTCAGAATACATTACTACAATTCTTTGTCATGTAATTTGGAATCAGTAACTGACAACAAGTTGCAAGTAATCTAACATGCACTGTGTGTGTATACATAACATTTCTTACAAATTAAAAAATAAAATAAATATATTGTCATTTAGAGCATTTATTTGGAGAAATGACAACTGGTCAAAATAAATAAGATGCAATGTTTTCAGACCTCGAATAATGCAAAGCAAGTATCAATGTATTTTTTTCTTAAACACAATACTAAAGTTTTAATTTAGGAATAATATTGTAAAATAAATCAATATTTGGTGGAATAACCCTGATCTCCAATCACAGCTTTCATGCATCTGGCATGCTCCCTATCAGTCGGTCCTGAAAACATGAAAACCTCTGGAATGTAAGCAAGAGAGTCACCAGCCATTAAATAAAGTCAATATAAAGTCACCCAACAGCAATGTGACCGACTGATAGTGAGCATGCCAAGACGCATGAAAGCTGTGATAGGAAATCAGGGTTATTCCACAAAATATGGAAAGTAAATATTGCTTCAAATATTAACGTTAAAATATAAGTATTGTGTATAGATGTCCCAAAACCACATTCGATCCATAAACTAATGACCAATGGTATCAATCATTTGTCCTACAGCATACAGACATATACGATCGGAACAACAAAGGGGAGTAAATGACAACGGATTTTTTTATTTTTGGGTGAACTATACCTTTAAGATGTATTTTTTTTTTGTTATTTACAATGATCTTCCAGCACACTGCAGAAGAAACAGCCGTTTCAGAAACACAGCTCTGCATTATTTAATCTGACCTCTAGAGACAGTGTAAGACCATGGTAAAGACAGACCTCATGTTCATCCCTTACACACCTAGGTATTCCCAAAGCAGCCTGCATTTAGGAAGCAGGTGGCACTATAAAATAACAACCAGGGCATAAACACTGTTGCCTTGGTCTGCTTTTTGCAGATCAGTCCTCATTAACCACATTAAACAGCAAGAACTCACTGAGTCTTCATCTGTGGCCGCTTAAGATTCATCTCCAATGGTTGCCAAGGTGACAACGTGTCATCACCAGACCTGGGACACCACAGGCTTTCCACTAGCAAACATATGTAAAATAGCCTTGCATGCAAAACAGCCTTACATACATCCAAAATGTAATGCATCTAGTTCTATTTGAAACCAATCTTCACCATACTGGTTTGGTTTAAAAGGAAACACATCAAATTGAGAACAATTATACAACTCAAAGAAAAGGATTTGAGACAAACATTTTCTTTCATTTTAATGTGACTGTTCAAAGCCAGAAATTACTGCAGGGATCAACAATTCCAAACACAACTTAGGTTACAAAAAATATAAAGCAAAAATAAAGAATGAAAACAGACTTTTCTAATTTGTTCTCATGTGCACAGTAGAGCTCTGGAGCATTACCACAATGCTCAGATGAACAGAGCAGCCTGCTGGATCAGCTCTCTGGGTGTTTTGGTTTATGGATCATGCACACTAGAGGACAAATACGCTCGGGTCTGCCGTCCATGCAAACAAAACGCTCGTAAAAAGTCCTGCTGGAGTGAAGCGAGAATCCATAGGCCAACTTGTACATTATTAACTCAGAACAGCAAATAAGCTTGCTTCATCATGGCCATGAAAGCAACAGGAATCATGAAGAGCAATTGGGGACTAAAAAAGGTGTGTTTTTGGATAAACAGTCGTTGACAGTATTTAAGGTTGGAGAAGGACAAATTTTGATCAAGAAGCTTCAGCTGCTCAATCATTTTCACATCATAAAACTCCTCAGCAATAAACATTCCAAAGAAAATCCAAAACAAACAAAAGTCTAGGGTGAATTTTAACAATTTGTACATTCTAAAGCTGAACCAACATCAAACATTTAAAATGCAGAGAGTGGAAGAAAAAGAGGGAAATGTAGGGTGTGGTAGATATTCCCTCAGGACTGAGATGGAGACATCTGGGCCTTCCTCATTGAGCGGAGAGCTTTCTCACGTAGGTGCTTCTCCAGATCATCCAAACTGTCTTCTACTTCACTCTCTGATTCCTTCAGGAAAGGTAGCATTAATTATGTCTGACTCAAGCGTAACAACAAATATGCTTAGGCTTTTACCTTATATACAACTTGTATATGTATGGTAAAAAAAAAAAAGACTTCATATTACTGGACTATTTTATTCTCACTGTACAGACAGCTTTAAAAGTGTAACTTCACCTTTTTCTGGTCAGAGTCTGGCTCTGCTTCCTGTCCGTGTGCTCCTGCCACCCCTCCGCTCTTTTCTTCGCCACTCTTCTCCTTCTTTTGTTTCTTATGCTTCTTGTGTTTTTTCTCTTTCTTGTGTTTCTTCTCTTTCTTCTTTTTCTTCTTCTTACCACCTTCTACATCTGAGTTCTACGGAACAAACAAAGATAAAAAATTGAGACACCTTTTTTGACATTAACGCTTTAGGCACTAGAGGTTTTTCATCTTAATCTCTAAAGGCTATATCTTAAGTTAAAAGACTTTCTGTAAATTAGAGAAAAATAAGGATGACCAAAAGTTAACGTAGGATTAAAATTTTTTCGCATCTAATTTGCATATTATGACATCATATGTTGGAGCCAATCTTGGATTATACAATTTTCATGAAGTCACGTTTAAGAGATAATGCAGCACTTCTTTCCCCTCAAAATGTCCATCACCTTCTGTATGCTATATTGCACAACATTGAATGCTCAGGTATATAGTAAGTAGTAAACAAACTGTGTAAATCATTACTATTAAATGGTAGAAAAAAAACGAATGCATGTAGTAGTTGAGCTTTTGCTGTAGAGATATACCATTTACTAAATACAGTAGGCACTCTGATTCCATGTATGGGGAACATATATATTATTCATATTAGGCCTGTCGCGATAGTCGATAAATCACACAATTAAAAAAAATTGATTTTTCCGGACGCGATAATTTCCATTTGCATGCTTGTTTGTTTTCCTCCTCTCTCTCTCTCTCTAAGAGACTGGATGACAACTCTTGGTTCCTTAGCATGAACTAGAGCTTAGATTCTCTGCCCGAGCCAGAACTTGACATGACCCGGCCCGACACTATCCTCAGGCCGCGCCCTTGATCTAGAGACGTGCACTGCCAATGCAATAGATTGCGGCGCGGCACTAGATTTGATGGCCAAGAACGAGCACGGGCGATATAATGCACTTTGTGTGTGTGTGTGTGTGCGTTGCGGGAGAATAAAACTTCGCGGGACTCTCGCAAACTCGAAATATCTATGAATAAAACCCAAGTGAGACCCAATCTTGGGCAGGTGTGGCATACCTTGTTAGGTGATGGGCTCGGGGAGACACTGCTGTTCTTTTTGGCAGGTGGAGGTGGTGAGCGGCTAGCAGAGCGAGAGGGTGAGACTGAAGCTGGTCGCTTGTGAGCGGTGGGAGGAGGAGGAGGAGGAGAAGCAGATGGTGAATGTGAAACCTGTCTCCTTACAGGCTGTGGGCTCTGAGAACCTCTACAAATGGACAGGAAGAGAGTCATTCAGATATTGTTCATCTGTTACACAAATAGAAGCGGAGCTATAGAAAAACGTACCTCTGAGATTTGCGTGGTTCTGGTGTGCGGGAAACCCTGCGAATCGGTCTGGTGCTGTGAGACGGGGACGCCTGGCGTCTTTGTCTCTGCGGGGATAAACTCGAGGGGCCGTATCGAGCCGGAGGACTGGAAGACACTCGTGTAGCATGGGCAGGGGGAGAGGAGCGGGCATCTCTGCCCCGTTGGGCTGCAGAGGGATTTGGAGAGCTTCTACGGTGGCGGGGTGGAGGCGAAGCAGAAGTGGGCGGAGTACGTCTTTTTCCTGGACTACTGCCACGGTTCCGTTTGGGGGATCGAGAGGAGCGACGTTTGGCCAAAGGGGAGGGCGATCCTCTACGCTTTGCCACTGGAGAGAGAGATGCCCTGCGCTTAGTCACTGGTGAAGGAGATGCCCTGCGCTTGGTCACTGGCGATGGAGACACTCTGCGTTTGGGCATGGGTGAAGGAGACACTCTGCGCTTTGAAACGGGTGAAGGAGACCCTCTGCGTTTTGAAACAGGTGAAAGAGACCCTCTCCTCTTGGACAAGGGTGAAGGAGAACCTTTGCGTTTTGAAATGGGTGAAAGAGATCCTCTCCTTTTGGACACAGGTGAAAGAGACCCTCTATTCTTGGATACAGGGGATGGAGACCTTCTACGCTTGGGAGGAGACCCTGATGAGCGTCTTTTTTGAGCTGGGGGAGGGGAGGGACTGTATCTGCGCTGGATGGGAGGAGTGAAACGCCGGTGAGGTGGAGATGGAGATCTGAAAAAGTAGGAACAGAATAAAGGGATGAATACCCACAGCAGGTCAAAAAATCTTCACAACCCAAAACCACAAACTCTTCATGAACTCAGCTGGATTTTACCTGCGCCTTGGGGGAGGAGAGGGTGACCTGCGACGGCGAACAGGAGATGGTGAACGATGTCTGCGGCCAGCAGGTGATGGAGAACGTCTTTTTCTGAAAACAGAGAAAGGGAGTCTAAACTCAGGATCTGACAGTAATGAAGCATCTCTCAGTTAAGTAAACCACAGGGCTGGGTATCGACTTTGTCTTGTGTTTGGCGAAGCTTTTGAATACCATTTTTGAAGTACTTCATCAATGCGTTTATCTATGCTTAAATGTGAATTACAATTCAAAGTAGATTGTGCACATCCTAAAAAAAAAGATCTGAAAAAATCTATTTTAATCCTAAAGTGAACAAAGCATCTTAGTAGTGACTTTAAGCAGGGGTTTTGAAGGGTTTAGTCAGTCAAATTTAAGACTTTAAGACCTTTTTATGACCATTATGATTCAAATTACGAAAAAGACTCGTAGACTATAGCTTTAAGGGATCCATTTTCTTAGGAAAAGGGAGCCTTCTGTTTCTTACTCTTAAGTATCAATAACACAGGAACAACACTTAATAATAATACATTTAAGAAGTGTTATGACTTTATGACTCTGCTGAAACCCTGTTAAGGGAGTATCACAGGTCAAATGCAAATTTCATGCAAATATTGTTGATTTTCACCTTGGGGATGCATCTCTGTGTCGCCTCCGTGGTGATGCAGGAGAATGGCTCCGCCGCCTTCTGATTTCCCCATTCCTGGCACCTGCCCCTCTATTTTGCCTCCTTGGACCTTCATCTTCAGAGGAAGAGGATGAACCAGTGTCTATAAGTAGCAACAACAACAACAAAAAAAATCTATATTCAACACGACTTGAAGGTACAAGCTCAGGTGTGAGAGGAAGAGAGAGTGGAAGTGGGGAGACGAGTGTGATGGGAATAAGAAAGAGTGGTAACCTGAAGAGGACTGCTGATTCTGTCTCCGATACTGACGACGCTGCTGGACAGAATCTGCTGTTGACCCTTTGCCCACCTTCTCCTCTTCTGTAACAAGACAGTGGAGTCCTTCAGTGCCCAAGAAACACCCACGTGTCCACCAACACAGAGTAATGATGTGCAAAAACACACAGCCACACACACACCCATGACATGAACCCTCTTTGAAATGAACAGAAGAGACTGAAGAGACTCGTGAGACAAGAGCTGAAGAATCCAAAACATTTATCAGTAGGGCTTTCTTGTCCCAGTCGATTAATTGGTCGATCATATGTTCTGGTTTGACCAAAATTCTGATTGGTCGGGTTTTTTTTGCCGCGTTCATTTCATCAGTTTTGCCGCGCTTATTTAATCAGTTTTGACGGCGTCATTTCATCAGGTGGAAAGCACTAACTGCTAATGGGAGTGTTTTCAGAGTACCTGTTTCACGGGTAACAGTCTGTCTTCAGAACACCCCCCTTGTTTTCACTTTTTTGGATTAACCCAACTAGACCCTGAAGCCGCCGCCATTTGCGCCATTTAGAATATCAGCCGGCGCCAGCCAATAATCTCGTAAGCGAAATTGAGCCGCCAGCTGATAATGTTTGGCTGAGCCGGCTATGCGTCAAATAATATTTCTATCACATAGACAGACGAAATATATAAACAATACAATACACGAGATCTATTTTTCCACTGGATTCACAGTGTTTAGGAGTCAAATCTCACCAGACTCTGATGCATCGGACCGTCTGGGTTTTGGAGAAGGAGTGTCATTTCTTCCACCAGGCCTGTGCTTCACAGCTGAAATTTTCACATGCATTTCAGTCAGAATCATTTTTACTGCTTATTATCCTACAAATAATATGGTGCTGACAAGGAACCATTTTAGATTAAAAATAAATAAATAAAGAAAGAAAAAAGACTATTTAGGAGTTATTCAAAGCATTTCAAATTTGAAATAACAATATTGACTTCTAGGAAACAACCTGAAGGGCTGGTGTCTGGTCCTGAAGGACTGCGGCCTCGTCTTCTGGAGGGGCTGACGGGGTCTAAGCGGCGTGGAAGTTTTCTGGGCGGTGTAGCTGACCTACGCTTCCCTGGTCTCTTATGGGGTGACCGAGAGGAGGAGCTGCCTGAGGAGGACCGGGAGCGAGAGCGCCGCCTGGTGAACGAATAAGATCAGGTGAACAAAAGCTGACTAGCAGTTCACAAGTGGCAGATGAAAGAAGTTTCATTTTTATATTAAAGATGAGTTAAAAAAAAAAAAATGAAAAAGACATGAGAACAAGAACATTTATAAAAATAAAATGCAACACCAGTGTGGCTTTACCATTAAAAAAGATTTAAGTTGTGCTTATTAGGGTTGTCACTAACAATTATTTTGGTAATTGAATAATCTTTAAATTATTTTGACGATTAATACGATTTTTTGTGGTAATAAAAATAGACCTATGGGAACAATAGACTACACTACCTAAAGGTTTATTAGGTTGTAACAATTATTAGGTTATACCCCGGTTGTAACGACTGGTTATTTCAAAGTTGCTTTTCTTTTAGAGAACACAAACTCTCTGATATGTTTAACAAAAGTTCTACCACCAGACCATTTAGGCACACAAGTGTTTTAGGCGAATTTATGCATTTCTCACTTCATCTCTGGACTAATATTCTATTATAGAAGACGTAAGGAAGAAAATTACATGTTAAACATGAGTTAGACAACCTAACCCCAGCTGCTCCCGACAAGCTGGATGGCGCCTTGCATGGCTGACACTGCCGTCAGTGTATGAGTGAGTGAATGGGTGAATGTGAGGCAAAATGTAAAGCGCTTTGGTGGCCATTGGGTCTGTGAAAGCACTATATAAATGCAGTCCATTTACCATGACTTCTGTGTTGATAAATTAAACTCAATGTACCATTGGAATTGATTTCTGGACATTGTAATGTTTTTTTTCTGCAATTGTTATTGTACATATTGTAATATTTTTATAGAAACCATTAATCAATTTTTTTAGAGTTCTTTAATGAAAAAAAAAAACATTTATTTGGCGTATTTGAAAAAAATGAATTTGCTGACCTGCGGACAGGTGAACGGCTACGTCTGTGTCTAGAGGGAGGTCGCCGTCTAGGGGGGCTCCTACGTCTCGGAGAGATTCGCCTCCTGGGACTTCTGCGGCGAGGAGAGAACGACCTAGAAGAGACATTAACTTATTCCCCGGGTTCAATCACTTTTGCAGCTAAGCAGAATTATCTAAGATAAGAAATCAACTGACTTCACCAAAACTCACCTAGAGCGGGTCCGAGGACGTTTGCGAGATCGAGGTGATCGAGAGCGAGAGCGGTGGCGTGGGCGATCTCTCCGTCCATCTTTATCTCGGTCCCTGTCTCTGGGTTTGGGCCTGTCTTCTGATTTTGACGTTTTGTCTGGAGAGGACTCTTTCACAGCCTCAGACACGGAGTCCGGCTTCATCTCAACCACCAGATCACTGACAGGTATAATTGGGGGGATTTCAGATTCATACACAGTCTTTCTGTGGTCCTTTTAAGACCATTTATATAAAAAAAATTATACCTATTGCACGGCCTTACCCTGTAGCAAATACAACTTTAGGATTGCATAGTGCAGTGTACCTTGTAGAGGAAGCCTCCTCAATGAGAGGCTCTGGTTTGGAGCTCTCTGATTGGTCTGGTTCTTGCTTTGGTTCTTCTTTATTATTGGGCGGACTAGAAGAAGGCAAGGCAGCCGGGCTCGGTTTTCGGCGAGGAGATCGAGTGGGACTGGATTTACGGTCACGCTTCACAGGGGAACGGGACTTCCTCCTGGAATTAAAAGTGAACCAGCAGAAAAAAAGATTAAAAAACAACCAAAATTTCCATTACATGCTGACTTTAAGCAAAATGAAGGCCACAACCAACCGTTTAGGGCTTTTTGACTGAGCTCGCTCTTTGATCTCCTTCTCCCTTTTATCATCATCTATTTTTTTTAGAGAGGCGAGTTTCTCCTGTTCAATCTAAATCACCAAATAGAAAACTGTTAAACAATTTGTAGTTTACAGAAAATGTCCAACCTTATAAATCCCCATCATAATCACTTAATCAGTATGCTAGTTCATAACATTTTAGCTCTTCGTCACCTGTCTCTGTTTGATCTCCTCTTTCTTTTGCTCCAGGAAAGCAGACGGGATACCAGCGATGTTCTCCTGGGCACTTAGCAACAGCGGCCAGAGATCCTTCATGAATTCTCGAGCGTTCTTCCCGTTCAAAAACCCTGTCAAATTAATCTGCATCATCTTCCCATCCGGGTTCTGCAACACAAACAGCAGGGAGGAAGAGAGAGGGGAGGAAACCATGCAGTTAATACTGACAGAGAACCAGTGTGGTGAGCTCTGAAAGTCTACCTACACCTTCCCTTCCTGAACATCCAATAAACTGCTTTTCAACAAGAGCCCAGTACCTGCGGGCCTCAAAAATGTCTCTAAAACCAACTGTCAGAGCTGAATTTTATTTTTACTCAAACCAATTTAACAAAAGGATCAAAACACTTCTAAAATGAATAAACTCACTTTGAGCATGCATTACATGTTATTATCTGAACTGAGATGTACCCTCACAGTTCACATCCCCTCATCAAGGAGCAATAAGACCCTCCCCGCTACTAGGGCTGTCACTTCCTGTGCAATATCAAACTCCTGAGAGATAGAAACATTACAGTCCACAAACAGAGTGCATCAAAACCCCAAAAAGCAAGAACAGTCCAGTTGTCTTCAGTGTGAGTGGCGCAGGCTCTGTGGGCTGGGGGGGGGGGCGGAGAAAGGCGCTCCATTGGCTGGCCTCCGCCTCACTACTGCATCACACTCAATCACCTTGAGTTTAATGCTATATCATTTATCTAAATTGCAAGAGACGAACAAGCAATAATGAGTACACAAGGCATGTAAAACTCTTTATTTACAACAAATGAAGAGGAAAATAAACCTATGAGATCCATGTGCTAGGACAGGGATGCTGAATCGTGCTCCTAAAGATTGAAAGATTCAGTTGTAAAAATAGGGCTGGACCTAAATTTTGCAATAAAGTAGATCTCCAAGAGCAGGATTGAGCACCCAGTGTCCTAAAATGAGTTAAATTAACATTTTTGCTTCAATTAAGGTTAAGATCCATCGACAGCATCTGTGGAATAATTTAAGAATTTTCCCATTTTTGATACCAGAAACAAATATGATGATTTGCTTGCCCTCTTCAGACATATTTTGTATGTACATCAGGGGTGATACTGTTCCTGGACCTACCTGCAAAGTTCAGTTCCTACCCTGATCCAAGACACCTGTCTGTAATTATCAAGTGCTCCTGAAGATCTTAATTAGCTGGTTTATTTAGGCCCGGTTTACACGAGAACGTTAAAATATTTTATCGGATGTGCCTTTCATTTACACGGCGATGGCGTTTTGGGGGCTTAAAAACGCAAAAAAGTGAAAGCACCCTCCAGAGTGGAAACCACCCTCCACCGCCGCGTTCCCGTGTAAACGGTAAAAACGCAAAAGTTTTCCGCTTGACAGTGAAGGTTGTATGCAGGCGCGCGGACTTGGTGGTGTTGTTATTGCTGAAGTGCATACTACATTGAATTTCACACACTTTTGCGTCATCATATGCACGCGGATTTCCCACCCAAAACAGTCGTCTAAACGCAGAATAAAAAGTGACAAGTTGACAACGCAACCCCACTTTTGCGTTTTCTCTTCAGAATCGTTTCCATGTAAACATAGCCTAAGTGTTTAATCAAGGTTGAAGCTGAACTTTGCAGGAGGGTAGATCCAACAGGAACAGGACTGGGCACCCCGATGAACAGTTTATGGACCCATTTAAACAGCGTTCAGGAAAAGATATAAAAAAAAGAACACGTTAGCCCTTTTGTTTTACTGTGTATATCATTATTGTACTCAAGCAATTATCTAATCAATTATTATTTTTGTTATTATAAGTATCATCTAGAAAAGAATGTTTGCCGAGGCCCCAGCTCCTTAGTTGAGAAACACTGTCCCAGTTTAAAAAACCCTGTAAAATCAGTTTCCGCTGAAAATAACTACAGGTTCATTCACCTAAGATTAGTAGTCCAATTGCAAAAATTAGGATTTAGACCATTTTTAGCACAAAATTAAGTGCAATTAAGTGCTTTAACCTCACATTATATGCATTTTTTTAGGAAACAGAAACAACTAAAGGAAGACTATATTATTCTCTGAGGTAAATTACATTATTCCACAAATGCTGTAGATCAAACATAACCTGTATCTAACATGAAACATTCCTTTAAGTTATCATATGGCTATGTAATTACAAAAACTGAAAGCACCTCTTCTATGTATGAGAATAAAGAAACACCTGTATGTATCATTAATAGGAACAAATACCTCTCTGGAATCCAAGCAAAAGCTTCCTGAAAATCAAATCTTTAGAGACTAAAACAGTGCCTTAGCTAAATTAATGAAAACGCAAAACTTGTCTCTCTTTGTTATTTGTGTCACATTGTGCAAACGGACAATCATACAATAAACCAAAATATTATTTTAAAACTGACAGCTGAGCTAGTCAATCAGACAGAGCATTATAATAATTATTGCCTAATAAACCCCCGTGAAAAAAATGACCATCTTACACCACCAATGTCGTACTGCCTTATCACATGCAATTTTAAGTTTTCATTGCATTCTTTAATGGTTGTATGTTGTTCTAAAATTGTCATTAAATTAGGCCTTTTCGTTTAAGATGTATTGCTAAACTTTGACTTTGAAAGGCACAAATGATAAAGCTGAAATGACTCTACCACTGGCACAATGTCAATCCCTGCTTAAAACTCACCTCAAAAAATAAAGCTCATCATCAAGGGAGAGTTGGATTCAGAGAGACTTTGGGCTCAGGTGAGATCTAATTAGGAGTTGGTGCTATACTTCAGATGCAAGGAATAAGATCCATATTGGTTCAGGCCTTTTAAATCATAAATCACATCAACATTAGAACATTGCTGTTCAGAAGGAACGGTGTCACAAATCATATCTTCAGAGAGAGAGAATATCAATTTTTTACCCCTTGTTCTGTCTTTTTAAAACCAGACAGACACTTAAAGTCTGTGATGTTAGATGCTTTCTGCTGTTACATCTACACATGACAAATGTTTCAAATAACTGTCAGCGGTTATTCACTGATCTTCAAACCTTCTCTCATCCTCCCAAAGAACAAAACACACTTAATATATAATTGCAGCATGTGTGAAAATAGCGGGAGGAGCAGAGGGGGCGTCTACCTTTTCCTCCAGCTGGTTGAAGACAAATTCGATGACAACGTCATCCTCAAAGCCAAGGATCTCAGTCACACGCTGGGTGATCCAGGGCTTGATGACTTCCAGGTTGACCTTGGTCATATCCACCTAATGACGCATCAGAAAACACAATCATGAAGAACACAGGATTTTCCAAATATTTTTAGGGGGTAAATTTAGGATCAAATTTTATTTGGATTAAAAATAATTCAGTATTACATGACCCTCAAGAATACTTTTAAAATTCTGGCACTCAAAAATATTTTTGTTAAAACTGATTATTTGTTGAATAATGTTAGACGGTCCAAAAGGACAGCATTTATTTGAAGTAGAAATGTTATGAAACATTATAAATGCCTTTACTGTCACTTTTTATCAATTTAATGCCCTTTTTTTGCATTGCAAAATTATAATAGTTTAGAAAATTATTATTCTACTAAAATGATTGAACCATTTAAAATATAATGAGCCCCAATGTGCAGCATGCTTATGGTAATATCATGGTGCAGTGAACACATTTGCACCAAAGAAAACAAGTATTTTCATATAACGTTACTCGACCTTCTTCTCCAGACATTCTGCAAACTTCAGCTGCTTCAACAGCTTCTTATGTTTGTTGCTGAAGCGGTTATCCTGCTCCGCACTGGTGCCCTTTAAAAATAAAAATAAACATGAAATCATAATTAAAACATCATGTGACACATTTTTATTTTATTTTTACCTGTATCTGATGTTAATATCCAATTGGCAGTAACGTTACGAGGTTAATGATTTTTTGTATATACACCAATAATTACATACATAAGTCTCTTAATCTTAATGCACAAGAACATTAACGTTAAATATCAATCTATATTTCAGTTTCAGTCTGTATTTCACAAATTATAACTGAAAAACGTCGACTAAAGATTACCGTAGAGTGGACTTTAGTTGTAATAATAAGTGCGATAATATGAAAATTAATTCGTTAAATCTGTTGTTCCTGATTAATCTGTTGAGTATTTTCAGGTTCTCTCACGCAGCCGCCATTACAGCCACACTGATACAGCACAACACACAAATACAGCCTTAAAACAACCAACTAGTCAACCAACTGACAAATAACAAATAGTAAGGACGTATTCGACCTTTATCGTGTGGTATTTGTGAAAGAATAAAACACTTACGCGGAAAAACCCCGCGTCCATTTCTGTCGTGTGTCAATATGGCACGATGTCCCAAAATCCACTGCGGCGCGGCAGCTTTTACGTCACTTCCGGAAGATGGGTGATCACATGTGCCTGAAATCTATGCTGCGTCCGAAAGCTGGAAAATGCTGCCTCCACAGGCAGTAAACAGATATTGGAGGGCAACAAGGCACGTCCAAATCAAGATTTCGTGTCACATCCCACATCCCACATCATGTCTCTGAGACAGGCTACCTTCATCTGATGGATTTTTGAAGGCAGCATAGGCTAGATGTTTCCTTCCCTGCATGGCACCTTTTGTTTTCTTTTGTTTAAATATATATATTTTTTTTCATATGTACAAAAAAGAATATTTAGCTTGAATAAAAAAAAACTGGACCAGTGCTCAAATCTATTTAATACTATTTAATGTTTTATAGCTAATATAACGGATTAATCAGTATACAATATAAAACATAAATTATTTAATTTCATTTCGTTTATCCTTCAACAATTGATGAAATGAAATGAAAATGCATTTGAGCAGCCTGCATTTTTAGAATTTGATTTATTGTTTGGAACTTTAAGAAGTTGATTTCTAATTTGAGCAGCTATTTTAATATTTTTATTTATTGTGTGATCATGTGAACATTTGATTTATCATTATATTTTGTCAGGAAACCTCTTCCATAAATTTTGTGATTTGTTTTGTGATTTAATGCGCACAGCGTTTTTGTGATTAGTCTAAACAACTATCAACTGAGGCTACTGGTTCTGAGGTTCATGTTCTGAGTTTAAATCACACCTTAAAAATGTATTTTATTTATGCGATTAACCCATGACTGTTTATGTTTTATTGTATTATTTATGTTAGTATCTGCTTTTTTAAGTTATGTAAAGTACATTGATCTGTGATCTGCGTTGTTTTAATTGTGCTATAGCCTTAAAAATGTATTGACATTTGCATTATCTGAGACTACTAAAGAAGTCAAAATGTAATAAATATATATAAAAATATTTTACATGGTTAATTTTTAAAACAACACTGAACAAATACATAAACTGTTTGCTGTATTGAAGTAATTTATTTGACATACACTGCATTTGTCCACTAGTTCTGAATGTGAGTCATTAGCAACTTTTGAGGTTAAATGATTGAAAATTAAGGCAGTTTCAATTTTTAACACAATATGTTTTGTACAGAAATCACACCTTTTTTCTTTCTTTTCTTTTTTTGAAGGGGTGAGTCATTCTACATATTGTCTCAATTAAGACTCATTTTTATTTGTCTGCACTATAGGCAATACAGAAGGCAGACTAAGACTTTCAGACGGGCAGAAGCTAAAGAACTCTCCCTTTTCTATTGCAAGGCCACCTTGGGTGTTTTATCCAGTAGTTTTGCTCTTCTAAGTAAACAAAAATGTAAAAAATATCTAAATAATACATCAGCAATGCTGAGTGATTAAGTACTTAATTCACACCACCACACTATACATTGTGAATCTAGAGCCCTTGATAACTGACTCCAAATAAAGCCAATACAAGCAATAGTGGGCAGAACCCAAAAGCTGACAACTGTGAATTCATTCCAAATAGGAGTTAGAACAAAGGCAATATCATCTTTTGATTCACACTAAAGCTGGTAGTGAAACTTTTTCTGCCCATGGCTGTGTTCAAACCCTGACACACAGTACATGGTCTAGAGCACTGTAGAGTGAAAGGTGTGTAATGGTCCTTACTGTATTTGTACAAAAAGACTAAAATTGAACCCCTCCCAAAAAGAATGTCAGGATTGGTTAAGTAGCGTAAGCAGTGTTTTAGTTATAACATCAGATCGTTGAAGTCTTTAAGGGAAAATTGGGGCCAGAACTTGCCATTTTTGTGCAGTGTCTCTAAAACAACTAAATTGGATCTATAATGTGTGCAATTACTTTTATTATCATTATTATTATATTCGTCAGCATTTTGTTGTTTTCTTGTTTTTTCCCCTGTCCCATGATGACTAAAAACTATGTAAGAATAGATCACAGAGTAGAAAGACAGACCCTGCGTCCGAAATATATAGAAGGGAAAAAACTGTGTGTATGTCTGAAAGCAATAGGTTGAAAAGTACCCGAATTGGCCTACTACTTTCGGCGAGATTCTGAAGTGCGCATCCACTGGCAACTGATGCCATAGGTCACATGACAGTGACAACATATGCAAGATATAGTATGTCCAAATTGCATTCATTCTACACACATTCACACTATATAGAACATACTTTTTTTTTTTTCGCAAAGCAAGTATCAAATCGAATGTAGTACCCACTATAGTGTATGCGATTTCGAACGCAGCAAGAGTATCCTGAGCAATGAGAGAATGTGAGTTTTCACGGTTGGTTTACATGTTTTCGTCACAAGCATATGTTTGTAGAGAACTGTAGTGTCAGCAGTTCTCTAACTGACAGAGAGTCCTGGTCAAAAGAAATCTGAGATAGATAAGTTTAGAAATGTACTGGAAAAATTCTGGTGATTTGTGTTACAGTCCCTGAGATGACCTGCTAGCTGACAGGTAGTCCTGCATTGGTTCTCTTTTCACGGATGGAGGCCAGCATGTCCGTAACCAGCTCTGACAGGCCGTACTCAGGCTTCCATCCCCAGTCCTGACGGGCGTTAGAGTCATCAAACCGCACAGGCCAGCTGTCCGCTACAGAAGGAATGTAAATTTTAATGAACATTAAGATCATTGCATTAATGGATTTTTATCAAGGCTTTTATGGCCTATTCCTTTCTTTGTTTTGTACTTTTGAAATTTTAAAATACATGTTTTTGATTTAGGTTTTTTTTAAAAAAACGTTTCATTATTCAATAAAAACACAACAGTGACCAAGAGGCATTATTTGTACAATAAAAGAAAAACTTTAAAATTAATATGATCTCAGACTCTTTCAAAAGGTCATTAACACGCACTGTTCTTACCAATAGTCTGCCGGATGTTATCAGGATTGTACGTGACCCTCAGGTGGGGCAGGTGTTTACGGATCTCTTCTGCCACTTCCTCAGGTGTGAAACTCATGGCTGCGATGTTGTAAGTACGTAATGAAAGTCGACTTTCAGGAGCTTGCATGAACTCAATGGTGGCCCTGTGGCAGTCAGAGATGTGCATCATGGGAAGCCGAGTGCTGGAACGCAAGTAACATTCATGGTGGCCGGTGCTGAGGGCGTCGTGAAAGATCTGGACAGCATAATCTGAGGAAAAGAGGATGTATACGATTATAGGTCAGATTAGGTGTGGACAATACAACGAATAAGTGAATACGTTTGAAGGTGTGTTTCTTTTCTTTTACAACTAAAGATTGTGTTTGTAAGTGAGGCTGGTTACCAGTGGTGCCTCCTCCTGGCTTGGTGTTGGCAGAAACGACTCCTGGGTATCGCAAGCATCGGAAATCCAGGCCATATTTATGGTGGAGATACTGATCCAATCAGAACACAGTTAGGATGTATGCATTTCATAATTAAATATCATGTAAGTCAGGGCTTCCAAAACGTTTTTTTTTTTTTTCTTTCAGCCAAACCTCTTAGATGTAAAATATTTACTTGAAGGACCCATTGAGAGTTAAGTTAATATTAAGTTAATATAAGGTAATATTTCAAAATTGTAACAACATTTGCAAGTTATCTGATGTTGATAATAAAAATAATAATAATAATGTTCTTAAATAGAGAACACAATTATTTAATTAAATTGCAACCTTTGATTTGATCATCTCATCAAGCTACACTGTAAAAATGACTACGCTATATCTAATCAATAAAATTGTGACAACAGATTAAAAGCAATATTATTATTAAATTTAATTAATCTAATTAATTCCTTAAAAGTTAACCATTTAAAATGAGTAAAATTTACAAAAAAAAAACACATCTGAATAACAGAAAGACGTCAAAGATGAATGAAGAACACTTTTTAAGAACACATTTTATATTGCCAATATTGAAGTCATCTGATGTAAACAAGCCGAATCACTGAAGGAGAAAACCATAATTTTAAGTCACCATTATGGTGATCAATGTTTGTTCATTCACTTTAAGTTTTGTTTGGCTGATATACCTGAGATATAACAGTCAGATCAACAAATAGAAAAAGGTTATCTGATTGTGTTGGTTATGTTTTAACATAATTTTTTCACAGTCATTTGACTGGTTAACTTTTAAGGAATTCATTTGATCAATTATTACTCAATTCTAATTTGTTAAATTTATAATTAATAATATTGCTTGTAATCTGTTGCCACAATTTTATTGCTTAGATATAGCATATTTATTTTTACAGTGTATATTGTGATTTTAATGCAGACCCATTTATTCATTTATTTTAATTTTACATTAGATTAGTTATTGGGAAACCCTGATGTAAGTGAAAAATTGTTCACAATAAGCTTACAAAGTGTATATACAGTACATACATATACATATTAATTAATTAATTAATTAATTTCCCCAGACTAACTATAACATAAAAAAACATCAATCTTTACTTCCCCCATCAGCTCTGCATGGACTTTGGAAACTCCATAAATGGTGCGAGGTCTCTGGATGCAGAGGTCAGGGGCCGGGTCACGGGGAGACGAAGGGCCAAATGCTCCGATGGTACTGGGAACAAACAGTCGCAAGCAGTTCTCCAGAGCCAGATCCAACACATTATGCAGACCTAAAGAAAGTGGAGTGGGGTGTGGAGAAGAGAAGATATCAGGACAGGGGCAACAGGAGAAGGACAGAATGTGGGACGTCAGGGATAGTGGAAACCTTACGTTGTAAATTAGGCAGTCATAGCACCTAACCCTAACACTTAAAACATGTGTGACAAGAGTTTTCCCACCTGTGATATTGATGGTGCGGGCGAGAGCCATGTTAGCTTCCCCGATAGCACTGAGCAATGCGCTATAATGCACCAGCCAGGTGATTCTGTTATTCACAACTAGCTCCCTCAGGTTTTTATAGTCCAGCACGTCAGCGTATACAAATGGACCTATGAGGTAAAACACACAACAGGCGTTGGAGTTTAA